GCTGGTGCATTGCATAAACCAAAAGGCATTTTCTTAAAAGCATATGTTCCAAAAGGGCAAGTGAAAGTAGTCTTATCTTGGTCTTGTGGGGCAATGGGTACCTGTAGGTATCCTGAATAACCATCGAGGAAACAATAGTGTGACTTTCCTGCCAATCTTTCAACCATTTGGTCAAGAAAGGGCAGGGGAAAGTGATCTTTTTTAGTGGCTTGATTAAGTTTCCTATAATCTATGCACTCTCCAACCACTATGTGTTCTAGTGGGAATTAATTCTCCTTGATCATTCACTACCACTGTTGTTCCTCCCTTTTTAGGCACTACGTGTATTGGACTCACCCACTCAGAATCAGCTATAGGGTAAATGACATCTGCCTCAATCCATTTAAGGATTTCTTTTTGTACTACCTCCATCATAGGAGGGTTCAACCTTCTCTGGGCATCTACTTTGGGCTTGGCATCAGGTTCTAGGGTGATTCTATGGCTGCACAGAGTAGGATCAAGTCCCTTAAGGTCAGCTAAAGTCCATCCTATTGCTGTACTATGTTCTTTTAATACCCTAAGTAACATTGACTCTTGTTCTTCCGTTAAAAGACTGGAAATTATCACTGGCAGGGTGTTATTAGGGCCTAATAAAGCATATTTGAGATGATCTGGGAGTTCTTTTAAAGTCAATTCAGGTGGTGAAATTAAAGAAGGAGCTGTTTTGGTGGTTTTAATTGGTAAAGTGAGTTGTAAGGCTGATTTTACTTCTTCTAAAGTGGAAAGATTTTCAGCATAAAAATATACCTCATCAGGAGTATTAAAACCATGATTTTGAAGAAAAATAGGATCAAGACTCTCGGTCAAAACAGTTAAAAGTTCATCTTCCTTATTTAAAATAAAAACCTCTTCGACTAACTCGTCAATCAGATTTATTGAAAAAACTTGGTCACCTTCATCTGGATACTTCATTGCTTGAAAAAGATTAAAGTTTATTATTTCTCCATCAAATTCCATTGTTAAAGTCCCACAGTGGACATCAATTTTAGCTCTTGCAGTTTTCGAAAATGGTCTTCCCAAGAGAATGGGAATGTCCGTTTTATCAGTTCCCATATGGGAAAGTGATATAGAAATCAGCTGGGAAAACAAAATCATTCACTTGGACTAAAACATCTTCCAAAATCCCTTCAGGATAAGTGTAACTTCTATCTGCCAATTGGATTACCACTCCTATTCTCTTAAGATCTCCTATGTGTAGTTGTTCAAAAACATCTTTTGGCATTACATTTATAGAAGAACCTAAATCAAGCATTGCCCTATCAAATTTAAGACTCCCTATTTGATCTCTACCTTCTTAAAGGTATCTAAAAGTTCTTGATCTAAGGCTTTATTCCTAGACTTTTGGCTAAGGAACTTACTCGGGAAGGGAGCTTTAGGTCTGACCATGTCTTCTACCCTTTCCCCTTGGTCTGAGTTATCATTCCCAGGTGTTTCTCCCACTGTTTCAGCCCCATGAGAACTGCTGTCAGTAGCCTCATCTAACTCAAGGTTCACAACTTTAGGAACTTCTTTCTCACTCTCAACCCTATCCCTACCCTTAGGTTCAGGCAATTGTTTCTTATTCCTTAAAACCACAGCACTTATGTTTTCTTTTGGATTTGGAAAAGGTTGAGAAGGGATTCTTTGATTCATTTGAGCCTGCAAGTTGCTTATAATCACATCAGTAGCTGTTTGTTTTTCTTGAACTTGTTTAAGAGTTGAATCGAAACTTGAAAACTTGTCATCCATTTTCTTAAGAATTTGTTCAAACATCTGGGCACTTCTATCTTGGCTAGGTTGATGATTTAAATTCAGATTTCCCCTATTTGCTTGATTAAAATTTTGATTATTGTTTTGAGGAGGACCATATCTGAGATTTGGATGATCCTTCCAGCCCTCATTATAAGAATTTGAGTATGGATCATATTTTCTTTGTTGGTTGTTGTAAAAAACAGCGTTGACTTCAGGATTTTGAAGGGTTGGACAAGCATCAGTTGCATGCC